ATGTGCTTGACACACTGGATGAATGGATGGATTGTGGTCAGAGATGTAAGAGCCCCCAGTAGAAGTATTTTAAAAAAGAAAAAACCATTTCTCTCACAGGATATCACCAGGCTAAAAAAGGAAACCTTTCTGTCTCATATGAAACCTTTGAGGGCTAGAGAGAGAAACTCAGCCTGGAAAGTAGGAAACTCAGTCCTTATCACCACTCCCATGATTACTTCGGTTAACAAGAAAGCTCTGTGAAATCGACAAACGCCAAGGTTCTCCGAGCTGTGCTGTGATGGGGAAGAATTCCGATAAAAACGTCAGGGTTCAGCAAGAAAGGGGATTGCCTGAGATGATTCGACGGCTCACACTCTCCCCTAGTGCCAACAGGGAGAATGAGTCTGTTCGTTAAACGGGCTGTGTGCTGATTCACTGAGGAAGCCAACTAACCTGGTTGCCACTGGGACAGCAAATGGAGGTCACACGTGAAGGCTGGTAGGACTGTGTTCTTGGTCCCTGCTTTGTTCTCACGACCTGTGCACTCGGGCCCTGAGTGTGGCCCCGGGCCCCACAGTAGGAGCTACTCTGAAGCATCATGCAGGCAGGAACCTGGGCACTGAGGGTCCTGGTGAGAGGGGCTAGAGGCTAGAGAAGCCACCATCCTTTTACCAAGATGACCTGAGTTTTCTGCAGTAAGAGTGGTATGAGCCCCCAATAAATTAAAAACAAACACACAGCAAAATGACAGCAATTCATATATATCAAGTTTAAAAAAAAAGATCTATCATCAGCCAATCGATTGAAAGGAGTTTTCTGCAGTCCTGTGGCTTTGGGGGTCATGTTCAGTTCTCCAGCCTTCTAGAGCATTGAGTTGCCGAGCACTCTGCCTCTGGCATATGGCTTTCAAGTAAGCCACCGTCAATCAGCTGGGGTCTGAACTGGATTTCCAGGCAGGTTGGGGATCCATGCAAAGCAAGAGTAGCTTGCAGAGTGAGGCTGGGCCAGTCTTTTTCAAATGGATCCGACTGTAGCAGCATGCTGTCTGCTTACGATGCGGAATCTGGGGCCGGCTGAACGAGTCTCTGGGAGGCGGCTCTGGAATCGATTACAAGCCCGTATACAGAGGAACATGTGAGAGCCTCCGGACCTACTGCTGCTTTGCAATCTTTTGAGCTTATTTCTAGTTCCTTTGGGAGAGGGATGGGGGAAAGACTGGGTTTTCTACTCCTGTAAACAAAAGTTACAGCCTCAGAAACCCACAGGGGGTCGCTATGAGTCAGCACTGACTTGATGGCAGCGAGTCTGGTTTTTCAGTAGAGGGATGTCACGTCTTCCTTCTTTTCCCACCATGTTTAACAGCGTCCCACACCTGTATAGTTCCTCACCACAGCCCCACTCCTGCTTCCTGAGGGCCGACTGGGGCTTTCCATGGGATATTGGGGGGTCTGTGTGCTCCCCTAAACACACCAGGGAGCTGAGACATGTTGCTAGAGCTGCCTAGCCAGGTGCAACCACCCTGTTCCCCGGAGAGGGGCGACCACGACCATGCAGTCAAGAGGCATTCTTCCCGAGTCTGGGGAACATGGCACCTCTGCCAACAGAAACGTGTCCCAGACAAGGCCGAACGGTGACAACACTCAGAGAGCCCTTAAGAGTGAACTTTTGGCGCACACGGGGATGCAGGCTCCTCCTCCTCACCACTGACTCATGCATGCGCCCGGCAAGGCCCACTTCCTCTGTCCATCCTGCCCTGTCCACTCCAATGCCCTGCGATGACTCCTTTCTCTAAATCATGCAGGCCGGTAGAGCTCGTGTCAACAATCACCACCGTTGTCGTCGCTCTCACGCAGAGTTCCAGGCACTGGGCTGAGCCCTTTACCCACATTGGCACGCGTGAGCCTCCAGCCCTTTTTACAGGTGAGGAAACGGAGACTCTGAGAGGTCCGGTGTCTTCCTCAGGGTCCCGGGCTGGCCCCGCTGGAATCCAGACACCTACTTCCTGAGCTCTCCTCCGTCACCACAACTGCAGCCAGAGAGCCAGACCAGCACTGGCCCGGGAGCCACACACCTGCTGCTGTCTTAGCTCTCTGACTGATACAGCCTGGGAGGGGTCCCTAGATCCGATTTCCTCAACTGAGGAAAATGAAGGGGTTGTATCCGATTTCCAAACCTCTCCTCCTTTTTAGGCACCCTCACCCCGTACTACTGAGGGGACTCAACCCACTAAGCCTGTGTCCAGGCCTTAATGAGCTCCTTTCTCTGGAGGAATAAGTAGTTCAATAGAGTAGGGTCACGCGATCTTGTGGAGGTCCCTGCAGCTCAGGTATGAGGGGCGGCCATGGATGTCATTGCCCCCCTGGATCTCCTTTACTCTGGGGTACATGGGGATGCAGGCTCCTCATTACCACGGACTAATCTCAAGGCCTATTTCCTCTTTCAATGTTGCCCTGTCCACTCCAACCCACGGTGATCACTGCCATCTCTAAATCACGGGGGCCCACAGTCATGTGCGTGCCAAGGGCCAGGGAGAACCAGAGGCGAGGCATGGAGCCTGCTTTCGGGCACCTTCCAGCCCAGTGAGCGGAAATGGGCCAGCATGAAGTATGGTGTCACAGCACAGAAGAGCAACACGTAGCTGGGGGTGTGTGTATGCGCGTGTGCAGGGGTGCTGGCTGAGGGAGACAGTTGAGGAAATGGCACTGGGAGACAAAACAGTCCCGCGTCCTTTCTCACAGCTAAACTATGACTGAACTGGAATGAAAACCTGGCTGTTCCGGGCCCTAAGCCTGGCTCCTGGTCTACACCGGGGGTAGGAATTCATATGGATGTACATCTGGTGGTGGGGTTCTGACCCCGCCCCCCATACTTTCGCTGTCTAATCAAACCAGATGCTCCCAGAGGGCTGGGCCGTGCACCTGGGCCTTGAGGAGGAGGAGGGTGGCAATGAATGTGAACCCGATTCTGCCTGGGCCCATGGTAGCGAGAACAGCAGACCAAGGGGAAGTCTTGGGGACTCTGGGCGTGGTGTCATGGTCCAGCCGTGAAAGGGCAGCTCCCTTCTCTAGTTATTCTGTGGGCCTTTTCCTCCCGAGCCGGGTGAGTGTCCTCTGCTTTGGGCCACCGCTGGCCTTCCTACTACACTACGGGTCACAAAAGAGCACCCTCCGGCGCAGCGAGACCGCTCAGGATGGGCAGTGAGGATGGACCATCCCTTCTCTTCCACAATCTCTTTCAGAGACAGCTTTCTTTTGACCATCAACCACGGAGGGTGGGTGGGATGGGACCAGTTTCTGGTTTTGCTGATGAGGTCTTTGATATTCAGAGAGGAGCCACTGGGTTGTTGAAAGAAGGGAATTTGAAAAAGAAGAGACTTTTATGAAGGGCCTGCTCCATGGCCAGAATAAACCAGTGTGTGTGTACATTTGTGCACACCCTTGTTCTCTCAGAACGTTGCATTTTACAGATAAGGGACTTAGGTGCCCCCGCTAGCCTGGTGGATACTCAAGGACAGCAACCACCCAGCCCTCAAGTCCAGAGTTCGTGAGGGCCGCCAATATGTGCTCTGCGGAGCGAAAGGGCAACTGATGTGGCTTCTGTGGAGAAGTGACCTCTGAAGTGAGAGCTGATAGAGCAAAGGGCTTCCCTGGAGGATGGGTGAGGAGTGGAAGGGTATGCAGGGCGGAAGGAACAGTGTGAGCGAGGGATCTGAGCTGGCAAGGCATCTGAGCTGCTTAAGGAGCAGTACAAGAGCCGGGGAGGCAGGAGAAACTAGCCAGGGATCCGAGCAGTGCAGGGCCACCTGCGCGGTGTCTCCGATCTTGAAGTTCAAGTCACCAAAGAGCTCTAAGTGAGTGAGTGGTGCGCACAGTCAGGGTGAAGGTGGTGCTGGAAAAGGCAACATTTGGTTCTGTTCTACAGAACGCTACCGTGAACCAGAGCAAGTGGACAGCGACTGACCACCACCACCAGTGTGATTTTTACAACGACCTCGGCTCCGGGAAGTTCTCCTGGTGTGCCACGGCCTGGTGTGCCGAGTGGAAGCAGAGGGCCTGGAAAGAAGTGGATGGATGTGCAGGCCATTGAGGGGACTCAAGAGGACTTGGGGTGAACTCACCCCTGGGCTGTGGGGGAGGAAATGGTGGTAGCTGTCAGGCACTGGCCTCTGGCCCCAGCCCCATGCTAGGTTTCCTCCTACTGAGCAGAGGGCACGAGGATCGTCAGAGGCTTCCTCTGGTTCTCTCAGAATGCCAGAACTCTAAGTCAAGTCCAACAGTGACGGACAGCACAGGCCTGCAGTTACCAAGTGTGGCTGTTCCATAATCTCCTGTCAACCTGCGAAGGGGTGGAGTCTAGCCTGTCAATCAGGTTGCACCTTGATGACCTCATTTGGAGGCGCCAGGGAGATAAATGGCTCACTGGACGGCAGATACACAGACTCTCTGCTTTGTCTTCCTGCTGACAAGACACATGGAGCTTTGCTAGAGCCCTGGAGCTGGAGGAGCCACATGGAGACCCCTGCCAGCACTGAGATGCTTCCACCACCACTTGATCTACAAGACTTTCCACCCACTGGCCTGTGAGCTTCCTGCATTCAGCATCACTGCATGTGTTGCATGAGTCTGAAGAGAAATCTATAGACTGGTTTCAGACATAGGGGCTAGTACCGGACTAACAGACTTGATCTGGACTGGGCTGGGATGTTTTAATATACAATTACTCTTTGATATAAAGTTCTCTCTTCCACACATGAGTTTCCCTGGATTTGCTTCTCTAGTCTACTGGATTAATGTACTGAGTGTGTCGTTATACTTCCGGACCCCATTAAGCGTGCTCCTGCCTAAAGTCTTGAGAGAGCAATCCCGTGTGAGATAAGCCCTCTCCTACTGAAATCAGTATGGCAGACTCCCAAGGCAGTCAGTTCCAAGTTCTCTACCCTGTACACAATTACTGCAATGATACCATGACTCCAGTGTTGTGGCCCAACTGCCAGACGAGGGCATGGGAGCAGGCTGGAGTTAGAGGTGCTGCACACCGAGCTTTATTCCATCGTTCTATTTACAGGTATATACAGAGGGTAGGAGCCTATGGTACACTATTTCACAAGGTTATCTTACACCTGTGCCTCCTTTGGGCAAGATGCGGCAGATTCTGCTCCAGGCATCTCACAGGTCGCCAGGAGGGGAGGACAAAGATGCTCACAGGAGCTGCCCCTCTCCGAGGGCATTCATGGTGACTGCCTGTCCCTCCCAGGTGCCAATGCCCTCCCACGGACAAGCTGTGCCTCCCGCCTGCTTTCAGTGCGAGGTGACGGGATTTGGGTGGAGGCAGCTGCTGCAGCTGCTTCCAAAGTTTTTCACTTCAAGTGGTGGTGGTGGTGTTGGGGACCAAAAAAGCAGCAGTAGTCCCCATACACCCACAGCAGCAAACTGCTACCTCATGCCCAGAGCCAACTGGAGCATCAGCTGCAGACCTGGAGTCCTCCACTCGGGCCTGAGTGGGAGGGCCCCTGCCGCAGGCACAGCCCTGCGTTGGGTCCCCAGCAGCCCCCTTCAGGGGGCACTGGCGTGCATCTTCTCCAGGCAGCTTGTCCAAAATGTGACCAGCCGGTTGTCTCGGTTGACACAGAAGTCGGTGAAGTCCTTCAGCAGCCGGTCGGCAAACTTCTCGTCCCCGGTGGCACTGGAGCGCCAGGTCTTGGTCAGCATGGTGTTGTAGGCCCAGTTGTAGCCCACCCGCTCCTCGCAGAACATGTTCTGGCTGGTGGAGCTGGTGGAGTTCCGCCTCCGCCGCTGCTGTCCTGAGAACTTCCGCTTCGAGTAGGGCAGCTGCAGAAACACTGTTCCTAGAGAGGGAGAGAGAGGAACTGGGTCACAACCACAGGGAGGGCATCGAGCCGGCCTCCTGCCCATGCTTCAAAGGCGACCTCCGACCCATTGCCCGACCGCAGGGTCTCACCTGTGACATGAATGTACTGAGGCTTGTTCTCAGCGGGAAAGTTAAACGCAGTGGCTGAGTATTTATCCTGTACAAACCCGAACCTGAAGGCAGAAAAAAAAAAAAACGAAGAAAGCCCGCCTAAGCAAAAGGAAAAAAGCCAAAAAACAACGCCGGAAAACAAGGGAGCTGGAGATCTTTCTTTCAAGATGGAGCATCAAGCTGCGTCACCTTGCCCTAGCCACCCCCACTTTCTCCCTCAAATAACCAAGTAACTTCCCGGGCCTGCTCCTGCTTGGCTTCCTTTCGCCCCTAGCGCAGCAGCGGCGGCACCCACCTGAGTGAGATGAACTTCCTCTCCCAGCCCTCATCTCTGCTGCCCCCCAGCCCACCCATCACACTTGTCCTCTGAGAGTCTGCCCTGGCCCAACCTCTGGCTGGAAACCCCCTCTAGTTGGCGGCACACACATCTGCACACCTGACAGCATCGCTCCTTGCGGAAAGGAACCCTATCTTAGCCTAATTGGCCACACTTGGCTCCCTTGGCCTCCCGGTTCTCTCCGGCTGAGCCCACAGCAGCAGGAACGGAAGGAGGCCCCTTCATGGGAACACCGGCCTGCATCGTTCTGGGCAGACATGGCGAGAGCAGAGCTTTGTCATCGATGACGTGTGCCAGTGGCCATTTCCCCACTGCCCCCAGCACAGTGATGACAGTGCGCCCTGCCGGCCACCCGCTAGGAGCTGCAGAAGGGCAGCTGGCAGCGGTGGCGGCCGCCCTCTCCGTCTGAGGGGAGGGGGTAGGAAAGGACCAGCCACGGCTGACGTAAGGAGGTCAGAAGTCCTCCTGGGAGAGTCGCTGTGTCCTACGGTCTGCTTCCAATGGGACCCAGTCACCAGTTCCAAGAAGAGAGACGAGCAGACAAGCTGCTTGGCAAAGCCCATCCTCTAGTGGCCTCTCAGCCATGTGCAGGAAGGACGCAGGGGTGGCTGTCCTCCCCTTCTACTTTGCAGTGGGGACACTAAATAAGGAAGTTGGGCATTGGCTAAGGCAGACCCCAGAACTGATGCGTCTGAATGGCGGTGCTGACGAGCGTGGAGAGCAGCATGGACTGCTAGGACACACAGATCGGTGTGGGAAGAAGTCGGGCCAGAGTGCTCCCTAGAGGCAAGGATGGCGAGACTGCGTCTTCCAGACTTTGGGCCTATTGTTAGGAGACGTTCTTGACGAAGGACGCCATGCAGGCAGGAGGAGGAAGGCCCTCGGCGAGCTGGATGGACGCAGTGGCTGCAACCCTGGACTCACGCCCAGGAACGACCGTCCTGTTGTTCACGGGGTCACGGTAGGTCGGGATGGACTCGATGGCAGCCAACAACTACTCCTACTTTCTAAGGAAACTGACGTCGCCCTCAGCACGGACGACACAATCCAACCAGCGGGGTCAGCGATGGATGTGTTCTTGCCTCTCTTCTGCCTTAGCTTACCCGGGCCCTGTGAAGGGGACACTAGCCTCCCAATGGCTCAGAAGATGGAGGAGGAGCTAAGGGCCAGAGCCCAAGAGTTAGGGAGACTAGAAGCTTTTCTATTTCTTTTTGAGATAGGCATCCTAGGTGGCTAAATGTTTCACTTCACAGTCCCATTCTCCTCTCCAGGAACAAGCTACACGTGGAATAAGTTACTCTAGCTAAGGTCTTCTGCTAGCATTGTACCAAGAAACGAAAGCGAGACCAGACATGGCCTGATCCTCCAGGGACCTCAAACTCGGGGTAGAGCAGATGGACAGGGTGTGCTGGGGAAAAGGCTAAGGGATATTTAGAGTAGAGGAACCTAGGAATCTGTAGTGGAAGAAGATCAACCAGTGGGAGGGGGCTAAGGCATGGAAGGTAGAAGAGGTTCAGGTGTGGAAGGTGGGAGGGATTTAGCTGTAGAAGGTGGGACGGGGTTGGGTGACGGTACACACACCCAAATGTGGTACGACTGGAAAATGACATGTCAGGGAAGCTAGGGCTAGGAAAGTAGGCCGAAGGTTTAGCGAGGATAGGAATGGAATCCAGACTAAGGAAGACAATGTGAAGAAAAAAGCAGATTTGACAATGGCCCCAGGCTGAATGCTGCCACATGGTGTTTAAGGCAAGTCGTGTAAAACGTGCAGAACACATCCATTAGCCTGAGTCATTCATAAGAACCACCATCTACTGAGAGCTGACTAGATGCCAGGAACAGAAGAGGATCCTTCCAACCGCACTGTGAGGTTTGGGCTTATCTATGAGAAAAGGAAGGTTAGGCAGTTCCAGGACTTCCCAGGATTCTCAGTGAGATGCTGGTGGAAGCAGACGCTGAACCAGGCAATCTGCTTCCCACTGTGTGCTCACTACCTTCTACCACCCCGGTGGATCCCCCAGCATCTGGCTGGGAAAATTAGCTGCCCTTGCGTTTCTTTCCCAAGCTTTTTTATTATGGCTCTGTGGCTGATCAAGGAAAGCACAGAGTAAGGCCAACAGGCAGGCTGGGGTCGAAGGTGGCAGTAGCTGGAGATGCTTGAATAAAGACATGCTCTGACCTTGAAGGAAGCGTAGCAGGAAGAGTACCGAGGCAAGAAGGGCAGGCTTTGTTCTCACCACGGGTGACATAGCCTTCGTAACTAGTTAGTGGTACGCCACACCGGGCTGCTGCAACTGTACTACGACGGCACGATTGCAGAAGACTGGAAGTTCCGTGGACTGCTCAAAGGACAAACAGACCTGTCGTGGAAGTAGTACAGCCAGCGTGCTCCTTAGAGACACGGATGGTGACACTTCGTCAGACGTACTTTGGACATGTTGCCAGGAGAGACCAGGCAGAAGGACATCATGCCTGCAGAAGGACATCATGCTTGGGAAAGTGGAGGGGGAGTTATAAAGAGGAAGGCCCTCAAGAAGACGGATTGACACCGTGGCTGCCCCCACGGGCTCAGGCACAGGGAGGATGTGAGGACTGGGAGTCTTTCGTTCTGCTGTGCACGGAGTCGCTATGGGTGGGAACCATCTGGATGGAACCTATTAACCACGACAGACTGGTCTCAGGGGAAGCACAAGAATGACCTTCCCTGGCACACAGTAGGAGCTCAGTAGGTATCTATTGATTCACCTATGGTTTGTAACCATCTATTTATTCACTTTCCAGCACATGTTCAGGGTCTGCAGACAAATTGTAACCGTATTTCCTGCACGGTATCGTCTGGATAGCTTAGCTATCCTGTTAGAAGCAGATTAGAGAGTCGAGAGCGGAACTGGATTCCCCTCATCCGGAAAAAGACAACTCTGAACAGCAGCAGTGATAGGAACTGTGGTGGTAATGCTTATCTTCGAAACCAAAGCAGAATTCTGTCAGGGCTAAGTGGCAAACTTGTCAACACTGAAATCGCATCCTTTCTCCGGAAAGGGAACAAACTAGCTTTCACTTTGGTAACCACTCTTCAAGATGCACACCAATCCCTTCCAACGATTCCCTCCAACTTGGGGACAAACCTGTGTGCAATGGCTTCCTGGAAAAGATGCATCCGATCCCAGTATGTCTCTGGTTCAAAGCCTGAAAGAAAGCAGAGTAAATTTGTGACCTGAGTGGGAAGGGGTGTGAGTGTGTGTGTGTGTGTGTCTTGTGTCGGAATCAGAGACAGAATTTCAGAAGGGAGCATCTCTTACTATCAAACAGGTGCTCACTGCCCTCCTTGAGCAGGCAGCTGACGCTGAGTGGGATGAAGAGCTGGGCCCGAAGGGGGTCGCCGTACAGGTAGCTGGGCAGTGCGAAGGGACCTTCCAAGACCGGGACCAGCAGAAAACCACAGGAGGTGGCTTTTCGATGCCAACCTTGGACCTGGTGGGAAGTACAGAAACAGTGTCATCTCCACGTTCGTTCAGACCAGAGGAAATGTTTCCTAAATTATGAACCTCCTGGAGTGGTAGCATCCTACTGATCAGCACATTTGTTTCATAATGTTCACTGCCTCTAAGCCAGTCCTATACAGGAAGAAACGGTTTAACTCCCAGCAAATACACAAGCATCTGAGTGTTTAAGCAGCAAATAAACGGCTTCTCATGATTTCTTTTCTTTTGGAATAAGCAGGCCGGGGAGGGCTCTTTCTTGCATCCTGAAAACCCTACTCATCCTACAAAATGTTGGAGATGAGACATTGGACAGAAGTGAAATTCTTCAGGGTTGTCCTTTATCAAAACTTCGGGAAATCCAAAGCATCACATGGGAACAGGACCACTCGGGTTGGCTGAAGGGCACATGACACAGAGAACAAAATGGCTGGGGTGGCCACTGGCCGAATGGACCACGAGCTGCTACAAATCAAACTCCCCAGGGCAGTGTGTCCTGATGACGGCAATGGGGCACGCAGATGCCTTTCCGTCCCCGATGATGGCAATGGGGCACGCAGACGCCTTTCTATCCCCGATGGCGGCAACGGGGCACGCAGACGCCTTTCCATCCCCGATGGCGGCAATGGGGCATGCAGACGCCGTTCTTTCTGGTGTGGAGAGTCTTTGCTAGCCATGAAATGCCTACCTGTTTCTTAAAAAGGGAATGCTTGTGACCCTGACGTAGGAGTAAGGTTGACTTTACAGATGCTGTTCCCCGCAAACAGAGTTTGGGCTGTATCTTGCCTGAAACAAGGCTGGGTTAGCAACTTCTCTCCCAGCTGCAGCCATACAACAAAAAGCAAAGACTCAGCCCCAAATGATCTTGTAGCCTCCGTTAATAATTTTCTTATATTTTTCTTACACAAAATCTTATTTACAACCTATTTGGACATCTCCCTGAAATATTAAACTACACTGTAGCTTTGCTTTCTAACTTTTAACCAAATAAAAAGGATTAGAAGCTTTCAGATGAACAACTGTAAAACTTTATTATATATATATCTGTGTGTGTCTATCTATATTGAATTCCTCAAAGGAGATAAATATTCTTCTCACTGCCAAACTATAAAGAGATGTGCCTCTCTCTGCATGTGGTGTTCTGAGATATCCTGTCTCCTAGGGTCTAAAGCAGCGATTCTCAACCTGTAGGTCACGACCCCTTTGGGGGGTCAAATGACCCTTTCCCAGGGGTCGCCTATTTCATAACAGTAGCAAAATTACAGTGATGAAGTAGAAATACTTTGTGGTTGGGGGTCACCACCACATGAGGAACTGTATGAAAGGCCACAGCATGAGGAAGGTTGAAAACCACTGGACTCTACAGGGAGACCACTTGAGCCCAGTGGATCTGTTTTTCCGGAACAGAGTGGTCAGCCTAGTATTGACCAGATGAAGAGCTGGTGTCTTCTGGCAACTGAGTGGATGGGCGGCTGGGCCTCATTTTTGAGGTGGACCTTAAGGACAATCCCCTGATGGAGTCGCTCCTGAGGCAAGGTCTCTCTCTGATGTTAATGCTATATGCAGAGAGATTGGGGACTGGGCCAACAGAGGCCCAGGCAAATTGCTTCCCCTGGGAGACATCATGTGGGGCAAAATTGGACCCAGTAGCCCCAGACAAAAAAATCTATTATGTTGCCAGCCAACGCTGTACTTGGTTCTCATTAGCCAACTCCAAGCTTTTAGTAAGGAGCCCTGCTGGCGTGTTAGCTAAATGTGGGGCTCCTCATCACAGGGTTGTAGCTTGATACTACCAGTCGCTCGCTGGGAGAAAGATGAGGATTTCTACTCCTCTAAATATTTACAGTCTTAGAAACGCACAGGGCAATTCCAATCTGGCCTGTAAGTCAGAGTGCTCTTGATGGCAGTGAGTTTGAAAGATTTTTTATTTTGAGCTGTTAGTAAACTTTCTGAAATTTTCCGCTGCCCTCAGCTGTGCAATGAAGGCACTGAGTCAAGGTTGGAGGGCAGGAGCACTTGGTAGAGGCCACAGAAGAGAGATCCTTTTTGGTTGGAGGGGAGACTGTGTTAAAGAAAGTTAGAGATAGTTAATACCTTAACTTTAAGGTGGTAAGGAGGGCTCTTAAAAGCCACAGACAGTCTAGCTAAGCAGTGCTTCTTCAATCGACAACAGGATTGGGGCTGAGAAAGAGAGTGGGGATGGGGGGCGGAGGCAGGATGGCTTCTTCAAACCAGAAAACCAAATCTAATGCCACTGATTCAATTCAGAGCAGCCCCATAGGACCCCCGCCAAAACTGGCCCTGTGGGTTTCTCAGGCTGTATATCTTTATGGAAGCAAAAAGACTCATCTTTTTCTTGGGAGCAGCTGCTGGTTTCAAACTATTGACCTTGTAGTTAACAACCCAAATGGTAACCCACTACACCACAAAAGCTCCTAGATGGCTTCCTAGTGCAGGAATAATAAATAGCCGCATTACAGAGACAAACCAGAAGGGTCAAGATGAGAGAACAGGTAAGAAAACCAGTTAAAATAGGGCGTTCCCAACCTTGGCCTTCTTGACACCTGGATGTTAGTTAATTCTTTCTGTGGGGCCCATCCTGTGCAGTGCAGGATGCTGAGCAGCACTACTGGTCTCTACCCACTGGAGGCCGTGCCACACCCTGACCCACTGTGATAACAAAGAGTGCCTAGTCTTGTCAAGTGCCCCAGGGGAAGTGGACAAGATTGCCTCCAGCTGAGAATAACTGAATTAAAAGCAGCAATTGCTCGTGAACAGAACACTGATTAACTATGCTACAAACCAGTAACGGAGTACTCTGCAGCTATGAAAAACAAGACAGATCTGATGGGAAAGGTTCCAACTCAAAGCAACCACATAGCAAAGCGTAGAACTGCCCCCTTGGGTTTCGGAGGCTGTAAATCTTTACAGGAACAGACAGTCTCAGCTTTCTTCCTTGGAGCAGCTGGTGGTTTTGAACTGCTGACTGTGTGGTTAGCAAGGTAACTGATAACACACTACTCCACCAGAGGTCCTATGAAAGATACCCGGGCAATTAGAAAAACACAATGTAGATTGCAGACCACATGCTATCACAGCTGGCAAAAACAGGTAACAGGGGTTTGTTTGTATAGGAATAGAATCTCTCAGGAAGTACACCCACCAAAGTAGCAGTGAGAGCCGTTTTTAATTTGGCAGTCCAGGAGAACTAGAGCAAAGGTGGGGAAAGACTTCTACTTTCTTACTATTGTTTTTAGCTGCTGTCAAGTCGGTTCTCTCATCGCAACCTCCAAACAAACAAACACACCAATGGCTGGTCCTGCGCCATCCTCACAAATCACTGCTGTGGGAGCCCACTGTTGCAGCCACTGAACCAATCCGTCTCACTGAGGATCTTCCTCTTTTTCTTTCACTCACCCTCTAATTGACCAACCACGATGTCCTTCTCGGGGACTGGTCTCTCCTGATGAACATGTCCAAAGTATGTGCACAGAACTCAGAAGCCATCTTTCTTTCTAAGGAGCTCTTTGGATGTACTTCTAAACATTCGTGTGTGCTCTTCTTGGTTTCCACTGCCGGCTTGCTCAGTGGTCTTCACTCGCTGGAACGTAAAGGGACCCATTCTTGTGCGGCCTTCCTTACTCGTGGTCCAGCTCTCTCACGCATGTGAGGCACTTGAGAATACCACGGCTTGCATCAGGGTCACCTCGGACCTCAAGCGATACTTTTGCTTTTTAACACTGGAAAGGAGTTTTTTTGGCAGCAGATTTGATGACTCTCATACAGCATTTACTTTGTTTCTTCTTTTTGGTAATTTTTAAACTATATATTTTTTAACTGCTTGTAAATTCTTTATCGTTTTATTAGGGGCTCATACAACTCATCACAATCCATACATACATCAATTGTGTAAAGCACATTTGTACATTCATTGCCCTCATCACTCTTAAAACATTTGCTCTCCAACTAAGCTCCTAGCATCAACTCATTTTCCCCTCCCTCCCCGCTTCCCCCTCCCTCATGAACCCTTGATAATTTATAAATTATTATTTTGTCATATCTTGCCCTGTCTGACATCTCCCTTCACCCACTTTTCTGTTGTCCGTCCCCCAGGGAGGAGGTTATATGTAGATCCTTGTAATCGGTTCCCCCTTTCCAACCCACCCACCCTCTACCCTCCCAGTATCACCACTCGCTACTGGTCCTGTAGGGATCATCCGCCCTGGATTCCCTGTGTTTCCAGTTCCTATCTGTACCAATGTACATCCTCTGGTCTAGTCAGACTTGCAAGGTAGAACTAGGATCATGATGGTGGGGGGGGGAGTCGGGGGAGGAAGCATTTAGGAACTAGAGGAAAGTTTTATGTTTCATCATTGCTACATCGCACCGTGACTGGCTCATCTCCTCCCCGAGACCCTTCTATAAGTGGAACTTTCTTTCTTCTTCTTCTTTTTTAAAAAAAAGTTTTATTGAGAATGATGTACAAATGCGCTTTACACAATTGATGTGTGTATGGATTGCGATAACAGTTGTATGAGCCCCTAATAAAATGTTTAAAAAATAAATAAAAAATAAAAAAGTTTTATTGACGTATGGTTCATGTAGCATACACTTCCACAGTTCAGCTGTATTTTTAAAGCTGTACAATCATCACCACAATCACAACAATCAGTTCCAAACATTTTCTTCCCTCTCGTATTCATTATCAGCTCCCCATCTCCCTCCACCCACCCGCCCCCTAATCTAATGACTATGTCTATAGCTTTACCCATCCCAGACTTCATATACAGGAAAACTTACAACACACAAAAAACAGTAACAATAATAAACCAGAAGGAAAATAACCAATAGAGGGAAACGCGGTAAGTATTAAAACGTAGAATAAATTTAAAATTGGTCTCAAAAGGGGGATCAAATGATCAGGTATCACATTTTAACACAATTACATCTGCCATAATCGAGTTTACAATACTCTACGTCTAATAGCCAGGCTATTTATATTCCTCGACGATGGTCAGAGGGGATTTATCCGAGGTTTAATCAATGAAGGGACCCTGCAAGTGAATTTTGGGTTTCCACTCCATCTGCTGCATTCTGAAAATAAGGTGTCTACAATTTAAGTTCTGATACTATTCCTTCCTTTGGAGTTGGATTTTATTATCTATCATCCTTAGATCACACCGGCTGGTCTATTTCTTCCATGTGGGCTTAGTTACGCCTCAGAGGGCTACATGTTTGAAGACAAACCTTTTAAGACACCAGAGGATATATTATTTATTTATTTAAATACATCGTTTTATTGGGGGCACATACAACTCTTATCACAATCCATACATCCACCCATTGTGTCAGCACATTTGTACATTTGTTGCCATCATCATTCTCAAAGCATTGTCTTTCTACTTGAGCCCTTGTTATCAGCTGAGGATATTCTTTTTGATAACCGGGCACCATCTGCTTTCTTTATCACACTTTGCTGTAGCATTCATATCTGACAGCGATCTCTTCATGAGGGCAAGCATCTAGCAGGACCATGTCATAAGAACTAATTTTATTCTTAGATTGGGGTTACAATCCACTCATGTATCTAGGGTTTATATACATCTTTGATTCACCAGAGGCCTCATTATCATCATATGACAAAGAACATTATCAATCATTCCCACTGGAGGATAAGGTAATTCTATTGATAGTGTCATTAATATCCAATGGTATGGGCTTTTAATACTGAGGAGCAAAGGAAGTTACACAAGCTTAGAACAACTCCAAACTGCATTCCATGAATTGTTGATTTGTATAGATTAAACTCTTAAATGATTGAGCACTATTTACACTAACAATGGGGGTTGGTTAGAGAGCAAAGTTTCCGATACTCATTCATTCACAGGGCAGATCCATGCCTATTAGATTAATATATAATAAAGCAAGGAGGGCATTAAAATAGTAAATATATGAAGGCCCCACCCAATGGATTTTTTTCAAAGCTATGTATTTAAATTCGTTAAATCTATGATTCCATTCTTGGAAACATATTTCAAACTCATCTGTTTGGATGGCTGACAGCACCTCCCTCGTTTTTTCTTCACCTCTTCTATATCATCAAATTGCTGTCCTTTCATGTCTTTCTTGTTTATCTTCAAGCCTTTAAGACCCTTTAAGACCCCAGACACTTTTACTAGGTGGGCACCATCAGCTTTCTTCACCACATTTGCTTATGAACCCATTTTTTACTTCAGCAATCAGGTCGGGAAGGTGGGCATCACAGAACGCCAGATTGTTAGAACAAAGTGTTCTTGCATTGAGGGAGGCCTTGAGTAAAGACCCAATGCCCATCTGCTACCTTAATGGTTAACAATTAAATATATGTACCATAGTTTCTTTAGCCATTGTTTTACTGTTGGGCATCTGAACCACTTCCGGCTTCTTGCTATTGTGGGCCGTGTTGCAGGAAACACTGGAGAGCATGCACCTGTTCATGTCCTGCGGTGTTGCTGGGTCGTAGGGGGTTTCCACTCTGTTCTTTTAGGTAGTGCCGTATCGCTTTCCATAGGGTTGTATATGTTTACAAGTCCACCAATTTCTCCACAGCATTTATTGTTTTCTGTTTCACATTGTTTACTTTCTCAACTTCCGTAAGTGTTGACTTCTGATGTAAGTAAAATGATACCCAAACAACATCAATCTTTTCTCTGTTTATCAGGACGCTCTCCACTGGTCCAGTTGAAAGGATTTTTTATGGTTTTCTTATGTTGAGGCGTAATCCATACTGAAGGCTGTATCTTTGTTCTTCATCAGTAAATGCGTTAAGTTCTCTTCACTTTCAGCAAAGAAGGTTGTATAATCTTCTTCTGCAAGTTATTAATGAGGCTTCCTCTAAGTGTGACGCCTCATTCTACTTCATAGAGCCAATGTCTTTGATTACGGATTGAATAATCATGGTAAATGGCTACAGCCCCGACACACACGTTTTCTGATTCTCAACCATGCGCTACACCCTGGTTCTGTGTGAACAACTTGGTCTATGTACAGGTTCCTGTGTAAGCACCATTAGATAAGTGAGTTTTAACTTGTGGCCATGCCTCCTACCTTCCCCACCCTGGAGACACGTGGTAATATGTGGAGACACTCTTGGTTGTCCTAACTAGGGTCCGGGTATAGAGTGGGCGTTCCTGTGTGCAGAGGCCCCTCTCCACGGTGAGTCAAGGACCCGACTCCAGCAAGCAGCAGCACTCACCATCTCAAAGAGCACGGCAGCTGTCACCGCCATCCAGTGGAGCTTGATCTCAAAAGCTGCATTCAAGGAAAAGTTGCCGTGGTAATAGCAGCTGCACCACTCCAGCCGATCTGTGCGATTGTTCACATCAACATCCAGGGTCACGGTCCTCTGCTCTGGGACAGTGGCAGCTAGATCATTGCAAAGAGAGCCCCCAAGAGAGTGGGCAGGAGGGGTAAGATGAGGAGGGAAAACAAACAATTAGGCAGATTGAAAACTGCAGTCACCAGTAGAACAGGACACACTGGAGAAGTCCCGGGAAATCACCTCATCCAGGGGTCAGCATGTTTCCCTGGGAAGGTCCAGATCCTACATATTTTAGGTTTCACAGGCCACATGGTGTTTGTCATAACTACTCAATCCTCTGCTATGTTTTAATGAAACTTTACTTAAAAAGACAAATGTAGGCTGGGTTTGGTTAGTTAAACTGTCATGTAAAGCTTTCCCCCCAAAATGGTACCACTCAGTGAAGCCCAATACCAACTCCCATATTACCTGTGGATTACAGCTCAAGGATCTTGGGTCAATAGTACATCCCATACCTGGGATTCCTGCTCAGAAATCCTACCCAGCCCACGAGGGGGGTGTTTGAGAGACTTGTGAGACAGTCAAGTTCCTGTCCAGACTGGAGGATTAAAATAGATTCAGGCGTAGAGAAGAGATCCGAATTCTGCTCACAACCTGGCTGAGTGCAGCCAAATGCAGATTTCTATGAAGTCTATTCTTCCTGCGCCTCCATCCCTACGAGTCCAAGGGTATTGCTTATTGGAAGCAGACACTTTAGTGCTGAGCCTTGCAGCCAGAAACCTGAGTGGCTTTTATCACTGACAAGGATAAAGTGCCCTAAACTCTTAAGTCAGTGATTTTAAGGAGTTTCAGTTGGGTGTGGGGGGATGGTAGATACTGGTAGAGTACTGAATAACAAGCACTTGGCACACTGACACCCAGGTGTCAGGTGCACAGGTCAGCATTCTCGCAGAAGCAGAACATGCAACGTGGGGAAAGTTCTAGATTGAAATTGGAAAGTCTGGGCCCTGCCATCTACTGGCTATGTGACCCTGAGACGGTGGCTTGACGCTTCCTAGTGTAGCTCCTGGGCTTTGAGCTGAGAAGTCAGTGAGCCCGTGTCCTTCACAGAGGGGGCTACGGATCAGGAGAAGCCGTGGATGAGACGGGATTATGGAACCCCCTCTTGCCTTCTGCTCTGCATGCTCCTCTTTTTTATCCACTTCCATAAACTTTTCCCTCTCCGTTTAAGCTGTTGGCTCACCCACCCTTAATCGGAGGTCATGGATGACTCTCATGGACACCGCTTGGCTGTTTGGGGCATAGCTAAAGAGACGACAGCTTTGGTGCTCAAAGACTCATGGAAACTTGACACTGTCTCTGCCTTGTGTTCCCAACTGAGGACGCTGCCACAATAAGCCGTTACTTAATAGACCGAGTCAAAGGGAATCAGGATCTTTGGTCTCAGACAGTGTGTTCCTCCTCCTCAAGGGAGAGGTCCAGGTGACCAAAGAAGGGCACTTGAGAAACACTAGCAGTAATGTGATGTCCCACGTCTCTCTTACGCCTGGCACGTTAAGTCAGGACAGGCTGGGTGAGGAAGCCTTAGGACGTACATGTACTACTGGGCCAAGTGGTTACAGTCTCAAGAAACCACTGGCTTCACTCTAGAGGGGCTCAATGTGACTGTGTGCATGCTTCCAGCTGGTTTATAACGTTGAGAACAGCCAGAGCCCATTGGGTGGCAGCGTTAGCGGAGTTCTCGGAATCATTTCTTGAGCTTCGTGACAAGCATCTTAATTCCCCTGGGGGATGGAGAGAGAGAGAGAGAGAGAGAGAGAGAGAGAGAGAGAGCGCAAGTCTAATAATAATAAGTACAAACCCAGAGGAGGAGCTGAAGAGCAGCCTTCACCTGGGGCCTAGCCAGGACATACCCAATATTAATTAAGGAGAAAGAACCCAACCCCTGGGGACAAAGGAACAACTTGTTCAGAGTCACTGCGGCCTAACAGCACGAGCAGGTTCGGGAGCGAGTTCCACGTTAGTCGGAGTTTTAGAAGCGAAGCACTCATCAGAGAGCTGAGGGCTACAGAAGCTGGTCACGCTCGTTAGGGTTCTGATCGATGCCTTACACTCCCTTCTGACCCTGTGATTCGGTGGGTCATCAACAAGTAAGAGGCCTGTCAGTGGGCTTATAGGATGAAGCCTGGCTTCTTCTTCTTCTTTTAATCATTTTATTGGGGGCTCGTACAACTCATCACAATCCATCCATCCATCCACTGTGTCACGCACATGTGTACTTTGTTGCCCTCATCAATCTCAAAACATTTGCTTTCTGCTTGAGCCCTGGGAATCAGCTCCTCATTACCCCCTGCCCCCCATCCCTGGAAGCATGGTTTCTTCAAGAGCCATAGATGCTCCTGCAGCTTCAGAGATCAGAGAAATGGAAAGGGAGAGATGGGGACATGGTAGCCACCAGGGCTCAAAGCAAGAAAGGCCGAAAGGGGCCCGCTGTCAGGCATGTCAAAGCAGATGTTTGCTACTAAGCTCCAGCTGAGAGAAACAAGTCAAACTAACAATACATTCAATGGGTCCTAGTGTGTACACAGCCTCTTTGTGCATAATCCAGCTAACTTCTTTCCCCAGAAGAAAGAGCCAATTATGCTGTCGTTATCAAATACTCACAGGGATGCAAGATGTTAAGAGGGGGATATTTCTGTAAAGCTAAAACTGGTCTAAAAATAAAACCCTATTCACACACACACACACACATCAAATCACATAACAGATCCTCCTTCTTATTTCAGTAAATAACACAGAAAAAGCCTACGGCCTGAAAGAATACTGGAAAGCAGCACGTCAAACCCTAACACAAAGGTGTGAGGGCTCTTGGTGGACAGAACTAGTTGCAATAAAGACTCACTTTCTGGTCGGAGGGCAGGTAGAAAAGGAAGTTGGTGGAATAAAATCTCAACACAGCAGTCATGGGAGGCACTCTAAAGCTAATAATAAAAGGGGTTTTACAAACAACATACACAGACGCAAAATTTTGCCTCAGTCCAGACTTACAGTGATGGCCCATAGCTCAGGACAGAGCTCAGGGTAAGAACACTTATCTAAACCCACTGCTAAGGACACAAATCCACCCTTCTTGCTGACTCCCCCTCCTCTGGATGCCTGTCTGACTTTTCCCTGTGCTGCTCTTCTTCACACACGGGTTACTATAGTAACTCTGAGGCCACAGGAAAATGGCATGACCTGAATCGCAGATTGAGTTTCAGACCACGAAAGTCTAGAGAAGGTTTGGCCAACCAGCCGAAGTAGTCTTTGTAAATCATAACCCCAACGACAGCGCAAACACGACCATTCCAGAAGCCTTTTCCAGAGGCCAGAACTCTTCAGCAATGGTGAGGTTTTTGCTATTCTGGCAGTGAGGAGGACTAGCTCAATGGAGATCCCATCGCCTGCATCCTGAGAGCCTCTTGGGGAAAGAATCCCATTTTCTATTCTCTCCTACCTACCAATACAGGTTTGTTTCTTCCTTGGTAGCTGCTGACACACTTTGTCAGTTGGGAAGATAAAGATGCTCAGTTCACTCAGCCACAGGGACAAAGTCCACACACTGGCAGAAGTGTGACAGTGTGACAACCACAGTGGCTCTGAACCCAGTTGGCTGGCATTGCTCTCCTGGCTGATGACACCCTCCCGCAGTTAGCCCACCTACCTAAAAGTGCGGCTGCCTGGCTCCGTCCCCCGAAGCTGCGGCTGAAGGAGCTGTGCCTGCTTGCGTAGGAGGCCGGCCGGCTGGGCAGCCAGGGCAAGAGGAAGGCGGGAATCTCAGAGTGCAAACGCTCTTCTGCCACAAAGGCTACCTCGAACCACTTCCGCTGGAAGCTGGCGAAGTCATCCTTGCTTGTCGTGTGCCAGGTGACCGGCTGCTGCATGGTCACTGGGAGAGTGAAGGGGAGAGAGGCTTCGGCACAAACACTGACTACCACCCCCTGCTTCAGGCCTCTCATCTGAGAGCGCTTCAGAAATCCATGGCAACTTCAAGAGTCCCTAGGGTTCCCACTTAGAATTTAAGGGAAAAGGTGAGGACAGACACACAGGTGGTTATAAGGAGATCCATTTGGTCTGATACTTATTATTGAGCTGCTAGCCACAAGGTCAGCAGTTCAAACCCACCAGCCTCTCCATGGGAGAAAGATGAGGCTTTCTGCTTCTATAAAGACTCGCAGGCTTGGAATGGCAAAGGGACAGTTCTACTCTATCCCATAGGGTCTCTATGCCTCAGAACTGACTCAATGGCAGTGAATGAATAACTTCAGAGTAGAAGAAGCCACTGGCTGCAGCCTCTGGGGCTAACAAGTGCCTGTAATGACCAGGCTGGAAAGGGCTCCCTCCAGGGAATTACTTTCTCCCATGTCCCCCTCAAAACCATTACTTAAAATAAACCTTGGGAAACTGCCACACGGGATCTTCCTGGGGCACTAAAGGCAGTCTGGACACACAGCAAGTGAGAGCGCCCGGAATCAGACTAAAGCTGAGCACTGCCACGATCAGACCACCTGTGCGGGGTGTGGGGAGGAGGGGTGATCATGAAAACTTACTGCCAAAAGAAGACCCGTGGGCAATTCCTCCCATTAGCAACCCTGGTCACGTTTAGGGTTACCTTCCCCCACCACACTGTCTTCACCAGGAACAGAGTGTAACCTAATCTGACCACCCTGCCAATCTGCCTGGGTTTAAATTAAGGAAAATACTCAAGGAAGTTGACAGGCCTGTCAACCTAAAACATAGAAACTCAAAGGGAGCTCAGGAAGAGAGGAGGTCACTAGGAGATCCGTTTGCCCCTTCTCTGACCTCGATCGGGCTCTCTGTCCATCGCTATCTTGTAGAAATAGAAGCCATAGATGAAGGTCCGCAAAGCTTCGCCAGATGCATGTATGATGAGTTGTTCTTCCAGCATTTTCTAAGACAGAAGACGTTGACACTCTGAAATCCCTGCAGAGGGATAGTTCAGAGCAGTAGCCCTCGGTTACGCACTGCAGCTGCCTCCACCCCTAATAGACACGCCAGCTGCACTATGTTAAAAAAGCACCTGGTTTATGCTCTTTCAAGACTACCAAGGTGAGGTCAACTTGATAACAGCCACTTACCATATTAGACAGAGAGCAATGAGGTATGTGAACGAGGGAGGAACCGTTTGCCTGACTTTAGAACGTAATCAGTGTCCCTGAACTGTGCGTGAAGAAACTGCTGAGACTTGGCACACGCTTTGCCATGCGTGTTCTCAATGGCAACAAAAATAACATCAACAAAATTCTTAAAAAAGAAAAAGAAATGGACTTACTTTATTTTTTTCCATATTAAAGAGTTAGAAAAACAAAGTATTAAGTTTCCACTGATGGAGCAATGAAAACAATGCAATGTTTGGTATAATTATATCATAAAATATATTAGCACTGGACATCTCAAAAATGAAAGTATAAAGAAAAGCCAGGACTATCCACCATCCAACTTTAACATCCAGTTTAACATTTTCTATGTTGACTTCAGTTGTTTTGTTTGTTGTTTTGGTAAACCCAACTAAACAATCTCTATGGACTCTCCTAAGTCCTATTTTCTTCTCTCTTTCCCGTCCCATAACCAATCATTACTTTTATACATGTTTTTAATAATTCCATCATATAGACGTGTGTTGGTGTTTTGTGTGGCTTTTGCATTTTAAATAAAGGGTGTAATAGTATGCATATCATTTCACAGCTTGCTTTTTCACTCCGTGTTAAACTCTCAAGGTTTCCCCATGTTGATACATGCTCCTCCGGCTCCTTCATCTAACTGATGTAGAGGATTCCATCATATGACTGAAGACACACTCTTGTTCAGAGCGGTAAGAAGAGTAGACGGAAATAAGCCTATCACATAACAGGAGCACATCAAAACGCTCAAACCGAGATCTCACACTTCTTCAAACCAGTTGTTGGTGCAAGACTTATTCTTTCATGCATTTCAAGTAGGCCCCATACTTATAAACAATTCCTGCCCTTGACCCTGCAGATCTTTTTACTGGAAAGGGCAACTGCTTCGCAAACACTGAGGGCCCTGGTTACAGGGGTCCCCAAATGGGCCGTCCTCCAAGCCATGCTTGTGAGACTCACCTGCATGATGTCGATGGCCATCACCTGAGTCTGCACTCCCTCCACGTTGTTAACCAGCCAGTGTACCACCTCAGCACTGATGAAGCAGCATGGGGAGAGGCCCTTCTGCTCAGAAAGCAGCTGGACACCAGTCCTGAAGTCCAGGAGCACGAAGCAGGCCATGCGCACACAGTGGCACCCACCAAGCAGAAAGAAAAGAGGAGAAAGGAGGATTCTTGTGAAAGCATTTAGTATCTAAAGTGAGGACCCTCTCCCTGGGGGACAGACAAC